ACGCCACAACCAACGGGCTTAGCTCAGTTGGTACAACCATGGCCTGTTGAAATGCAGACCGTTCGAACTCAGATGTTGAAATAGAATAATTGTGAGTTACATGTGTGTGTGTGTGTGTGTGTGTGTGTGTGTGTGTGTGTAGCATGCGTGTGTCACATGCGTTTCGCCCGAGCACGACACGTCATGCTCGTGCTACTCCGACTAAAAAGCGTCGGCACACCGTGAGCAAAAAGCAAGACGCACCGTGAGCAAAAAGCAAGACGCGGGAGGCAATATTTCAACGCGGCGAGGTAAAACCACTTGGTATGCCCATCTTGTGGTGAGGGTAACCACGGGGCCGTTTTGTCGGGTGAAGTCGGCCAAACCTGCGCTAGTGGCGAATCGAAGTGAAGGGGGGTAGGGGCGCTTCGCATTGCAAGGGAGCAACAAACGAACCATCCATTCAGGAGAGAGGGAAAAAAATCGAAAAAAAATGAAAGGACGACAATTCGAGGAACCGAAGGCAGAACAACCATTGATGACATCCACACATGGCAAAACTCAGATACGATCATACATTACTTTTCTTATCCAATCAACAGGATGCCATGCGAAAAACGACAAATGGAGAGAAGTGGGAAGGCTTTTAATAGGATAGGAATGGGGGGAAGAACAAGAAAAAGAGCGGGAGAGAGAAAAAGAAAAAAGAAAAAGAAAAAAGAAAAAAGAAAAAGAAAAAGAAAAGGAAATAGACATTGCAGGGGAGGGAGGGGAGATAATAGAAGAGAAGGAGAATACATTCATTAAGAACCGAGCACTTTCATGAAAGCAATATTCCAGAGGGTCGAAAAAAAGTACGACCAGTTTTTATATCAACAAAAACAATTACAGATTTCATCGCCCACCTCACACCTCTGCTATCAAACCTGTCTCTTATACACATCTAGATGTGTATAAGAGACAGGTTCATACATCTTCAACCGGACAAAAAAGCTTTCTCCCGGATCAGAAAGAACCAAGTCAATTGGACCTCATTCTCCACGATCGATTACTGATCTCTAAGAGCCTGCAAGGT